TGAGGGAAAAGAGCGCTTTTGTTCAACATTTATGAATGGATAAAGGAGGAACCAAAACCAACAAAGGGGCGGCTGGCCCTGGACCAGGTTTAGGAGCTGTGGGCAGGGTGGGCCGGCACCTCCTTTCCTCTTGAGAAGGATGTGAGCAGCCGGTGGCTCGTACCCCGTCTCCTCAGCCTTGTTCATGCCTCTGCACTACCTGCTGGGCTCCTGCCACCCAGGGGTGTGGGGAGAGGCCTTGGCATGGGATAGAGGTCCACGTGTGGGTGTGTGACGGGTACTGGTGGATGGAGGTCCACGTGTGGGTGTGCAACTGGGTGTGAGACTGCGTGTGGGTGTGTGAGCGTGTACACGGGTGTGCATGTGCTCGTACACCTGTGTATGTACGCAGTGTGAGCAGGTGTGTGAACTGACTGTGCTGTGGCTGTGAGCGTGTACACACATGAACTGAGCGTGACAGTGCGAAGGTGTGTGCCGCGAGTTCCACTGGCCACATGAGCACGGGCGAGGCCGCTCTGCTAGCCTGTGGATGTCCAGCCTGGCCACGCTGGACGCCCGTGTCTTCTTCTCAACACAGGGTGGAGAGAGGACAACGCAGGACGCATCTCCAAGCTTGGCTCAGGCGCCCAGCGGCAGCTGGGGTTGGGTGCAGCCGCTCTACGTAGCCCTGGCTTGGATGCTGTGAGCTGGGTGGGCCTGGGGTGAGTGCCTGTCCCTGGGGTGGGTGGAGACCCCCATTTCCCTCTCAAGTCCCCTCACTGCACATTGAAGCCTCCTCCCACCCCCACTCCATTTAAAGGTCAGAGGCGGCCCCTCAGGCTGCACCTCCAACCCTCCTCTCTGACCACGTGGGTCTCCCTGTTTCCTTCCGCTGGCCTAGTCTCTGTAGGGCCCACTGAGCCTGCAGTCTGGGACCCACAGGCTTGAAGATTGAGGCTCAGGGCCTGGGAGCCTCCCTGGAATGTTCTAGAAAGCTATGGAGGGGCACCTGTCGGGGAGACAGCACACGGAGAGCCTCTCCTGCCTGGGTCCTGCCACAGCAGCCTGGGCCTGTGGGCCTAAAGAGCTGCTCCAGACTTTAACTGGGTCTGAGGGCTGGTGCCCTGTGAGGAACCCAGGTTAGAACCTGGGGACAGAGGCCTCCATTAGTCCTTGGGAGTGGCAGGTAGCCCATGGGGTCATTGTGATCATGGTGCGTCATGGGAGCGTGTGCTGGGATGGGGAGGGGTCGTGGTGATCATGGCACAACGCACTTTCCTCTGGTCTAGGTTTAGGGATGCCAGCGAGACCCGCTGAAGCGTTGGGGCCCCACCCGAGGTGAGGCGTGCCCAGGTCTGGGGACTCCTGTCTTGGGGCCCCTCCCAGGAGAACCAGCCCCCTCCTCTGGCAGGAAGCCCCCAAAGCCGTGGAGGAGCCCTGGGCCCACAGACAGCATCCCTGCTGCTGGGGACCTCAGGCCTGTGCAGGTGCCGCTGCCACGGGGCTGATGGGGCCCAGCCCAGCTACCTCAGCCCCTGTTTCCGCTTTCCAGGCTTCTCCGCGGCTCTCTGCTTTTGCGGCCCCACTCCAGGCCAGAAGGCTCCCACGCCTCCGTGGATCTTCACGATGTGGACAACCAAGGTAAGCACCATGAGGAAGTGGAGACAGACACAACGTTCAGCCACAGAAGACAGGATAATAAAGTTGGGTTTGGTTTATGATCTAACGTGACCATTAAAAGTGTTTAATAAACAACGTTGAAGACTACACAGTGGCAGATACATACGGCAATGCTTAGCATAACCTCATGACTGTCAATATGCACAGGCTTGAGAAACACCTGCAGGAGACATGTGGGCATGTTAGTGTGGGTTAACTCAGTAGGGCGGCATATCGAATCTTGGTGCCCTTCTGTAGTGTCTATGTTTTCTTTTCTTTTTTTTTTTTTTGAGATGGAGTCTCGCTCTGTCGCCCAGGCTGGAGTGCAGTGGCCCAATCTCGGCTCACTGCAAGCTCCACCTCCCGGGTTCACGCCATTCTCCTGCCTCAGCCTCCCGAATAGCTGGGACTACAGGTGCCCGCCACCACGCCCGGCTAATTTTTTGTATTTTTAGTAGAGACGGGGTTTCACCGTGTTAGCCAGGATGGTCTCCATCTCCTGACCTCATGATCCGCCCGCCTCAGCCTCCCAAAGTGCTGGGATTACAGGCGTGAGCCACAATGCCCGGCCTGTAGTGTCTATATTTTCTACAGTGAAGCTGGGATACTTGCATTGTTTTCAAAGTTCCCATCGGCACTTCCATCACATCCCTGTGTGGTTCTGTCCTGGACCGGCTGCCCACTGAGGTCCCACTCACCCCTGCCCTGCCCTGTCTGGCCAGCCAGGTACCTGCCCAGGAGGAAGAGGCTCAGTGTTTGGGGCCTGTATTATGCCCTGAAAATCCACTGCTGTTGAGTGAGGGCCCATGAGGCCTTTAGTTTGCCGCTGTGTACTTCTGAAGAGCTGGGATGCTCTCCACTATTCTCTGTCTCCTGGCTGGACAGAGTTCCACTCAGTGCACACCAGGAGCAGTGATGGGGCTGGGGGTGTGAGGGCTCAGCTGTGCCCTGAACTCCTTCACAGTCTTGCAGGAGGGGTCATGGAGCCATATCAGGGTTTGCAATTTTTGGGAAGTTACGTGACAATCTGCACACAGGAATGCTGAGTGCTCAGCAGGCCCCATGAACGATGATTAAATATGACGCTGTGTGTCCCACAACCTAAGGGCTGTGGCAGAGACCAGGAGGGCCATCAGCTCCCACAGCTCTCAAGTCCAGCTCAGGGATCCTCCTTGCTGACCTCCCTGGATTGTCGGTGGAGACAGCCATCCTCCCACAGAGCACCTGCCTGAGATGGGCCAGGCCGCCATGCCTTGGCTCTTGCTGCACATGCTGAGGTCAGCACAGAGGCACCCTCGGACACCAGCATGCCCTCGGGTTTGCAGCTTGTCAAATATCTGATGAGGCAATCTGGCCAAATGTGCTCTAACACCACTGGACCAAGAGAATGTCCTGGGCTGACCAGATGCAGCCTTGCATCCACCGTCTGCCACCACCAACTGTGTACACTCCCTGCACACACCTCTGTACACACTCCCCCTGCACATAACCTCTACACACAGCCTGTGTACACTCCTGCACATATCCCCTGCACACACCTCCTGCACACACCTCTGCAGACACCTCCTACACACACCCTGTGTATACTCCCTGCACGCACCTCCGTACACACCTTCACACACCGTGTATACCCCCTGCACACACCTATGCACACATCTCCTGCACACACCCTGTGTATACCCCTGCACACCCTCTGCACAAACCTCCTGCACACACTGTTGCACACACCCCCGCACATAGTCCCTGCACACACCCTGCACAGACCCTGTGTGCATCCTCTGTACACACTCCTTGTGTATACTCTCTGCACACACCCCCTACATGTACACCCTCTGCACACTCCTCCTGCATACACCCCATGTACACCTTCTGCACACACTCCCTGCACACATTCTGAGTACACCTACTGCACACCCCATGTACAACCTCTGTACACACCCGCTACACACTCCCCTACACCATCCACACACACTCCCTGCCAAAACATTGAGTACACCTACTGCACACCCCCTGTACAACCTCTGCACACACCCCCTACACACTCCCCTACACCATCCACACACACTCCCTGCACACAACCCCTACACACTCCCCTACACACTCCCTGCAAACACCCCCTACACACTCCCCTACACCATCCACACACCCCCTACACACTCCCCTACACCATCCACACACTCCCTGCACACATTCTGAGTACACTTACTGCACACCCCGTGTACAACCTCTGCACACACCCCCTACACACTCTCCTACACCATCCACACACACTCCCCTGCACACACCCCTACACCTCCCTACACCACCCTGCACACACCCCCTTACACACTCCCCTACACCATCTGCACACAACCCAGTGTACAGCCCCTGCACACACCCTCTATACACACTCTGTGCACACACGCCCGTGTACACCCTCTACACATATCCCTACACACTCCCTGTGTACACCCTCTGTGTATACCCTCATCTACTACCACCATACGTACCCCCACTACCCTGCCTTGTGTATGACTCCCCAGGCTGTGAAATACCAGGGACGTTGCCAACGAGCTGGTCTAATCTGAGGTGAGGGTTTCTGGGTGCCCCCTAGACACCAGGAGAAAGGCGGGGAGGGGACACCCCTAGGGCTTTGGACTCACTCCATGAGGCGCTGGGTCACAGTGGTACAGTGACACAGTAGATGTCCTGAGCGGGATTAAAGTCTTCCCAATGAACAGGCTGAACTCTGTCTTCCTTGAAAGCTCTGTAGAAGGACCTCACAGGGATAAACACAGGGAGACCCTCCAGGGCGCGGTCAGCCATGAGCCACAACGCTGGGCCGGTGACATCTCTGGAGGTTCTGGGGTGGAGAAAGACCGGCTGTGGGGAGTGACTGGCTGGGGAGCAGCTCAGCTCCCGCCCACCTCTGCGAGGCCCGGGGCTGGACGGGAGGTGCAGCAGACAAGGCCCCGGGCGGGTACTGGGGGGTCTGGAGGGGTCCCTGCGTGGGGGTCGGGTGGCGGGGAGTCTAAGAGAGTCGGGGATCCCCGGGGCGCGGGGTTCAGGGTGGGAGCGGAGTGTGAATGGGGAAGGGTCCCCATGCGCACCAGCAGCCGCGATTCCACCGCGCCTACTCGGGCTTTCCCCGGGAGGACACGGCGTGTGTCAAGGACCCGGGCCTAGAAGGCGGCAGCGCCCAGGGAAGCCTAGACGGGGCGCTATCTGGGGCGGGGGCTGGGGTGGCGGAGCCAAGTGCCTGGGAGAACCGCCATTCAGGAGCCCCTCCCGGCCAGGCTCTTGGTTCCGCCCACGCAGGTCCCGCCCCCTAGCCCGGCCCCTCTCCCCGCCCCGCCGCGCAGGCCCCGCCCCGTCCCGCCAGACTCTTGGTTCTGCCCACGCAGGTCCCGCCCCTCTCTTAGCCTTGCCCCGCCCGCCGCGCAGGCGCCGTCCGAGGGCTTCGTTTGAAACATGGCGCGGGCTGGTCCGCGGCTGGTGCTGAGCGAGGAGGCGGTCCGGGCGAAGAGCGGACTAGGGCCTCACCGCGACCTGGGTGCGCCAGCGGGCGGGGGTGCAAGCGTGAGGGTGGCGGGGGGTGGGTACCGAGCTTCCCGGGGCGGCCGCGCCTGGTTGCCTGGGCGGCAGACCGTGGGCAGGTGGGGCTCCTCTGCGCAGGCGCCGCGGGCGTCCGGAACGGTCTCGGGCGGGAGGGCGGGGCGCGCGCGCCCAGGTGAGGACCCCGCCCCTCGTGCCCAGGTGCGGCCCCTGCCCGCGTTCCGGTCCCGGAGTCGCGGCTCCTGCTTGTCTATCGGGTCATTGTGGTACCGTGACTGGCGGTTATATCCGCTGAGGAGAGAGAGCCAGCCTTGCTCTCCAGGAGCGCAGCCCGCCCTCCCGCTGGGGACCCCTCTCCCGGGTTCTCCTGGGCCCATTATGCTGATTGTTGGGCTTGGCCTTCTTGAGGATGTTGGTGGCCGGTTGCCGCCTTTTTGGCCTGTTTTTGTCTGGTTTTGGCGTCAGGGGGAAGCCGAGCTCATAAACTGTTGAGAAGTGTTGCCTTCTCATATTTAGAAGAGGTTCTGTAGAGTTTGTGCTCATTGTTTGAATGTTTTGTGGAATTTTCCAGTGAAACCATATGGACATGTCAATTTCTGGTTTTGAAGCTTTTAAATGACCAATTCTGTATCTCTGGTTGTCAGAGAACCGTTCGTATTATTAGTTCACCTTGAGTCTTGGCTGTGTGGGGTTTTGCGGAGTTGGCTTATTTGAGCTAACTTGTGGAGTGTGTGTGCAGAGTTGTTCCTGGGGTTCTGTTCTTAGCCTGTGAATGTCTCTGTGTGGTCTGCAGGTGTTACCGGACCAACAGGTTCAGTCAGGTGCTGTGGGGCCACAGGCCAATACACTGAGACAGCAGGGTTTGCAGCAGAGAAAGAGTTTAATGCTGGCAGGAGCCCAGCAGGGAGGTGGAAGGAGGCCTCAATCCATCTCCCCAAGGAGATCTGAGCTGGGTTTTTTGGTTTTTTTTGAAACGGAGTCTCACTCTGTCGTCCAGGCTGGAGTGCAGTTGCATAATCTCAGCTCATTGCAACCTCCACCTCCCAGGTTCAAGTGATTCTCCTGCCTCAGCCTCCTGAGTAGCTGGGATTACAAGCGCACGCCACCAAGCCCGGCTAATTTTTTGTATATTTAGTAGAGACAGTGTTTCACCATGTTGGCCAGGCTGGTCTTGAGCTCCTGATCTCAGGTGATCCACCTGCCTTGGCTTCCCAAAGTGCTGGGATTACAGGCATGAGCCACCACGCCCAGCCTGAGCTGGGGTCTTGAAAGGAACAGGATTGTGAGGGGCTGGAAAATTGATGTTGTCAGTTGGTCGAGGTAAGGGCCATGGAATTATCAGGGTATGGAAACTGCATTCTTTGGTGAATCCGCTTGTGGGGTCCTTTAGACCAGATGGCATCAGTCCCCAGGTCCTCAAAGAATATCTCAAATGGAAAACTTAATGTTTTATAATGTCCAATAATCTGTAGAGTAGTTCTCTGTGGAGTGGTTAAGGGGAACAGTAACATCGTGACAAAGTCCATGTGATCCTGAGGCAGTGATTTCTGATTTTTAAAATTTCGTTCTTTCTGCTTGCTTTGCATTTATTTTATACTTTTTCTAGATTCTTGAGGCAAAAATGTAGATGATTGGTTTGAGACTTTCTTATTTTCTATTATAAATAGTGCCACAAGTTTCTCTCTAAGCACTACTTTATCTGTATCCACAAATTTTGTTATGTTGTATTTTAATTTTCATCCAGTTCAGCATATTTTAAGAATTTCCCTCGATACTTCCTGTTTGACATGTGGTTTTATTTATTTATTTATTTTTATACGGAGTCTTGCTCTGTCACCCAGTCTGGAGTGCAGTGGCACAATCTTGGCTCACTGACAGCTTTTTTTTTTTTTATGTTTATGCCATTCTTCTGCCTCAGCCTCCTGAGTAGCTGAGACTACAGGCGCTCCCTACCATGCCTGGCTAATTTTTTTTATTTTTTATTTTTTAGTAGAGACGGGGTTTCACTGTGTTAGCCAGGATGGTCTCAATCTCCTGACCTTGTGATCTGCCCGCCTCTGCCTCCCAAAGTGCTGGGATTACAGATGTGAGCCACCGTGCCTGGCCTGACCTGTGGATTTTTAAGGAGTATGTTTTTAAGGTTCCATGTGTTTGGAGATTTTCCTGTTATTTTTCTGTGTGATTACATTATGGCTAGAGCATAATCTGTATGATTTTAATTCTTTTAAATTTGTCAGGGTTTGTTTTATGATCCAGCATCTGGTCTATATTGTTGAATGTTCCTGCCTCAGCCTCCCAAGTAGCTGGGACTACAGGTGCCCACCACCATGCCCAGCTAATTTTTTGTATTTTTTTTAGTAGAGATGGGGTTTCACCGTGTTAGCCAGGATGGTCTCGATCTCCTGACCTTGTGATCCGCCTGCCTCTGCCTCCCGAAGTGCTGGAATTACAGGCGTGAGCCACTGTGCCTGGCCTTCTTTACAGTTTTACGGTTTTCATCTGTCATCTCCATTTTGCTATTAAACTGCTCTTGTGATCTGTATGTTTCTCTGTTCTGTTATTTTTTCTTCATTCCACGATGCTCTAGGTTTCTTTCTTTTGTCTTTCCTTTATATTTGAAAAAATGTCTTCAGCGATTGTCTTAGGGCCGGTCTGCTTGTGACAGTTTCTCTTAGTTTTTCTTTAGAGTTTTTTTTTTTTTCTTGAATGTGTGTGTATTCTGTTGTTGAGTGGACTGTTATGTAAATACATAAATATCAATTAGATCCTGTTTGTTGATGGTATTGTTCAATTCTTCTGTATCCTTGCTGATTTTCTGTCTAGTGACTCTATTAATGACTGAGAGAGGGGTCTTGAACCCTTAACTGTACTTGTGGATTTGTCTATTTCTTTTTTCACTTTATATGTTTTGAAGCCCTGTTATTTGTTGAATTGAATATCTAGGATTTTTATATCTTCTTAGTGGACTGACCCTTTTAGTATATGTAGTCTTCCACATTTTTTTTTTTTTTGAGACAGAGTTTCCTCCTTGTTGCCCAGGCTGGAGTGCAGTGGCACGACTTTGGGTCACTACAACCTCTGCCTCCCAGGTTCACACAATTCTCCTGCCTCAGCTTCCCACGTAGCTGGGATTACGGGCACCTGCCACCACGCCCGGCTAATTTTTGTATTTTTAGTAGAGATGGGGTTTCGCCATGTTGGCCAGGCTGGTCTCGAACTCCTGACCTCAGGTGATCCACCGGGCTCCCAAAGTGCTGGGATTACAAGTGTGAACCACCGTGCCTGGCTCTTGGTCCTCTTTTTTCCTGGTAGTTTTGTTTGTTGAGACATCTGCCTTATTTGATATTACTGTAGCTTCTTTTGATTGGTTTTTGCATGGCATATCTTTTCCTATCCATTTACTTTGAACTTTTAACCTACCTGTATCTTTATATTTGAAATTAGTTTCCTGGTTCATTATTTTTATTCACTCTGCTAATCTCTGTCTTGTTGTAGTGTTTTAGGCCATTTACATTTAATATAATTGTTAAATATTAGAACTTAAGTGTGCCATTTTATTGTTTTTTGATTGTTTCCTGTGTTTTTTCCTTCTGCGTCCCTTTTCCTGCCTCCTGTGACTTACTCGAATATTTTTAGTATCATAATTGATTTATCAGTTATGTTTTGGTGTATGTCTCCTTGTATGGTTTTCATAGTGGTGGCTATACAAATTACAATATACTTATGTAATTCAGCACAGTTTACTTGTACAGACATTTTACTACTTCTGAGTGAAATATGGAAACTTTATCACCATTTAGGTCTCTATCCTCTCCCCTTTACAATTTAGTTGTCTGAAGTATTTTCTCTGCATACCTTGAGAACCATATTAATATTATGATTTTTTTTAAAACACCTAGCCTTTTCAGTAACTCAGGAGGAAATGTATTTATCTGTATGTTTCTCTGTTCCGTTATTTTTTCTTCATTCCACGATGCTCTAGGTTTCTTTCTTTTGTCTTTCCTTTATATTTGAAAAAATGTCTTCAGCGATTGTCTTAGGGCAGGTCTGCTTGTGACAGGTTCTCTTAGTTTTTCTTTAGAGTTTTTTTTTTCTTTTTTGAGACAGAGTCTCACTCCCTCTCCCAGTCTGGAGTGCAGTGGCACGATCTCAGCTCACTGCAAGCTCTGCTTCCTGGGTTCATGCCATTCTCCTGCCTCAGCCTCCCAAGTAGCTGGGACTACAGGCACCCACCACCATGCCCAGCTAATTTTTTGTAATTTTTTTAGTAGAGATGGGGTTTCACCATGTTAGCCAGGATGGTCTCGATCTCCTGACCTTGTGATCCACCTACCTCTGCCTCCCGAAGTGCTGGAATTACAGGTGTGAACCATTGTGCCCGGCCTTCTTTACAGTTTTATGGTTTTCATCTGTCATCTCCATTTTGCTGTTAAACTGCTCTTGTGATTTTTTGTTATTGTATTTTTCTTTGAAATTTCTATTTGTTTCTTCTTTATATCTTCTGTTTCTTTGCTAAGACTAGTTTTTCCTTTGTCTCAAGTGTTTGTAATTGCTCTTTGAAGTATTTTTTATGACAGTCACTTTAAAATCCTTGTTAGACCTGAATTCTGTGTTCTCTGTTGGTGGTATCTGTTGATTGACTGTGTTTTCTCATTCAAATTGCCATTTTTCTGGTTCTTGGTCATTTTTTATCGTATTGTGGACATGCTGGGTATGATGTCATGAGGCTCTGCTTCCTGTTTAAATCCCATTACTTGAGAAGATTCCTCACTCAAGCCTGCTGGGTGCAGCCTCATTGCCGGGACAGTCGTGGGGCTCCTGCCTCACCCACAGGCTCTGGCAGACCCTACTGGCTGGGAGGGTGAAGGGCACCACCTTGTTCTAGCCAGCCGGGACAGCAGTCAGGATCCATTCTCACACCCCAGTGCTGGCTGCTACGCAAAGCCAGGTGGACGAGGGGTGTTTGTGTGTGTGTGTGTGGTTGTGTATGTGTGTGTGGGTTTGCTTGCAGGAGGGCTGGTGATGTGAAGAGACTCTGTCCTGCCAGGCCCCTCCTGGTCCTTTGGCCATCGAGAGCAGGCTTACGGTTTTTGGTCTTTTGGTGTTTCTGGGCTGCCAGCTTTTGTGGCACCCGGAGTGGGATGTGTAGTAAACAAACATAAACAAAACCCCAGAGTCAACCCAGGGCCTCAGTGCTGGGTTACCTCTCGAGTGCCGAGGCCCGTGGCCGGTTGGCTTCTGTTCATTGCAGTCCGCCAGTGCTTGTTCCATATATTTTCCTCCAGGGCGGTGGGTCTGATATGCGAGAGGAGCAGGGTGAAATGTGTCCCCTCCATCTTGCCTGGAACTGGAGGAGCTCAAACCAAATTGTAAATTTAATCAGAACATATTCTGGTTGGGTGTAGTGACTCATGCCTGTAGTCCCAGCACTTTGGGAGGCTGAGGTGGATGGATCACTGGAGGTCAGGAGTTTGAGACCGGCCTGGCCAACATGGTCAGGAAACCACAAGACTGTCACGGAATGCTTTTCTTTCGGGAACATGAGCCAAAAGTCACTGCACCTTGTCCCCTCCTGACCCTGTCCTGGTGGCAGGGTGTAGGGGACAATGAGCTGCTTGTCCTGTGTGCCTGCAAGTGGGGCAGAACCACGCAGCGTCCTGCTGTTTAGCTGCGTCTGAGATGATGCCCGAGGGCTACGTGAGGAAACAGGGAAACATGGGGTTTTAGTAGAAACCCCATCTGTACTAAAAACACACAAATTAGTGGGATGTGGTGGCACGTCCCTGTAATCCTAGCTATTCAGGAGACTGAGGCAGGAGAATCACTTGAACCCAGGAGGTGGAGGTTGCAGTGAGCCGAGGTCACACCACTGCACTCCAGCCTGGGCAGCAGAGTAAGACTCCATCTCAAAACAAAAACAAAAAGCCCAAAATATATTCTAAAACATAAATGTTCCTGGGAAAGTGTTGGTGTATTCAGATCTAAACTGTCTTTTTGATTGTGGACACTTTGATCTTGTAGTTAACGTTGATCTAATGACTGCTTATGAGTGCATGTTGCAGAGGCTTGCAGGCTGCGTGGAGCTTGCACAGCCCGACCACAGGTGTAAGAGGAGGCCAGCAGACAGGCTACCCGACTAGTGGGTTTCGGATGGTGATGGCTGCAAGGCGTGACGGAACTCAGCAGCCGGAGTGGGGGCGGGAGATGAATTGGGGGTTCCTGGGGAGAGGTGGTTTTGGAGGCAGTAAAGGTGGGAAGAAGCATGTGGCCTGGAGGTACTGCAGAGATAAACATAAGCTGAAACTTCAGGTACATTCCTTGCTCGTCAGTGCTGGTAGTCCAACTCCAAAGGAGTTGTACTGGGTTCTAGGTGCCTTTTTCAGATTACGAGGATACATATCTCTCTAAGAAAAGCTGAAAATACAGAAATGTGTAAGAGGGAAAGTAAAGGGATTTATTCCACAATAGGACACATGTTAGCATTTGTCTCTCAGTCTTTTTACGTGTACTGTTGGAGGAAGAAATGTTCTGAGTGACCCTCGTCAGGCACGGGGAGGAAGGCTTTATTCAGAGCCATCGAGGTGGGCCTGGGGTCACAGTGCTGGGATTTTGCAGTGGGGAAGAGAGATGGAGCTCAGCTCCAAGTACAGCAGCGACCAGGGGGAGTTCATAGCCGAGGATGAGGGCAGGGGCCGTGGGTGGAAAATGACTGAGAGGACACATGAGGAGTAAGGGGATTTGAGCTAAACCGACTGAACGGGATTATTGCAAAAGAGAGGCCAGGGTGACCAGACACCACCTGTGGGATCTGGGGATAGGGAACCTGAGCAGATACTGAGGGTGGGGGTTCTGGCCGCACTAAACTGGACTTTACAAGGAAGGGCACAGATGGCCGAGGAGAAGATTCGGGAGCCTGAGTGAAGTTGAATTAAACCAGGAATCTGTGTCAGTGTCTACTCTATATCCAAACACCAAGAACTTGACCTTTATTATAATAATTGTTTTCAAAAGAAAAGATTAAAATCTCATAACTTTTTTTTAATTCTCAGCTGAGCTTCAGTCATTGTCTATTCCTGGAACTTACCAAGAGAAGATTACCCACCTGGGACATTCTCTGATGAGTTTAACAGGTCTGAAATCTTTGGATCTCTCACGCAACTCCTTGGTTAGTCTGGAGGTAAGTTTTAGGTCTCTTTCTTAAAAGAAGATTTATTGCTATCAACCTCAGTGGAAAGTCCATTTGCAGCAGAAACGGTGTGTGTTTTGTAACCCTCTGTTTACACCTGTAAACCGTATACTTGGGGTTGTGTTTTTTTGTGTTTACCGTGGGCTACATTTCATACACATCACATTACGTTGTGTTGTAGCCCTCTGATGATGATGGTTATATCTTTAAAGGAAATGAAATGAGACCCCAGAGACTTACTGAGTGGCAGCACAGTGGGCCTGGGGCTGCCTCTGGGCCCCTGGCAGGGTCACCCCGGAGGGAGACGACTAGGTGGTGGTGAGGGGAGCTGTGCACACCTGCCATGGCCTGATTGGCCCTGACAGGACCGTGGGATGCGCCTGCCCCGAGCCTGGTGCCTGAGCATTATGGAGGCCGCGTCTGACACCAGCTTGGGAGTTTGCTCCAAGTCAGATGCGGACCCCACCCAGGCTGCACCCAGTGCTGCCGCCTCTTTCCCCCTTCCCAGACCTCAGCTTTCTCATCTGTGAAGGGCAGACCCTGACAGTTCTCACCCTGTAGAGCGGCGTGTGGATTAAATGAAATTGTGTGTGTAAATCACTCAGCTTGGTGCACACTGAGGCCTCAGTAGATATTAGCTGTGCTTAGTTGCATCACGCCATGGCACATGTGGCTTCCCTAAACGATCATCTCACCGCGTGAGGCCCAGAGAACTTCATAGATGAGAACGTGCTTCATTTTTCTACTTTTCCTGGTAACAACGTGTTTATTGCAAATGCGTTCATGAAGTTTGTTGGTCAGTGTGTGTTGCTGGCTTATTTCACTGCGTGTTTCTTTTCTAAAGTGTGAACGAATTCACTGTGTTTTCCTGTTGACAGGGCATCCAGTACCTGACTGCATTGGAGAGTCTCAATCTCTACTACAACTGCATCTCCTCTTTGGCAGAGGTGTTTCGGCTCCACGCCTTAACCGAGCTCGTGGACGTGGACTTCCGGCTGAACCCCGTGGTGAAGGTTGAGCCTGACTACCGCCTGTTTGTTGTGCACCTGCTCCCCAAGCTCCGGCAGCTGGGTAGGCGTTAGGCAGGGCCGTGCGCATGCTTCCGCCCCGCGGGGTGTGGGAGTCGTCGTGGGTGTCTGTGTGCTCAGCGTCATGCGCTTGGTTCCTCCTGGAACCAGGAGTTGGTTTTCTACGTGGATGGCTTGAGTTCCTGCAGACTCACAGCTCTAGTGGCCCTGTGTCTGGACAGGACAGTACTGGAAGGTGAGCAGCCTGGGAAGGCGCAGGGCTGGGGCCGTGGGAGCACAGCCCTGGACCAGGCTGCTCTGTCCTGTTCCGGCGCTCCGCATCATGGCTGTTGGACTTGGGCACGTTCCGAACATCTCCTGTCCTGTTTCCTTGCATAGCCACCAGGCATCACCTCAGGTGCAGCTAAACAGCAGGACGCTGCCTGGTTCTGCCCCAGGACCCAGGAAGCACACAGGACAAGCAGCTCATTGTCCCCCACACCTGCCACTGGTACAGGGTCGGGAGGGGACCTGAAAGAAAAGGGTTTCCGTGACAGTCTTGTAGGCAGAACTTCCAGGGCCCCCACAGCTGTGCCCAGTAGGGAGGGTCTCTGGGTTGGGGCAGCTGCAGGTCACCTTCCCGTCTGCCTCCTGCCTCCCCAGAGGTATCGTTGCTGTTGCTGTGAGCACCTGGTGGTGTCTCTGCTGACCCTACCCCGAGTCACAGATCCAGGAGAGAGAGCTGGGGCCTCCGCCCAGGGGCACACTCCAGAGTCCATGGGGGAAGAAGAGGATGCAGGGTCTCTTACCTCAGTCCTCCTGTGTGAAGTGGGGGGATAAGAATGCCATGTGGACATGTCGTGGTGGGGAGACCTGAGTTCATATCTGTAAGCTCCCAGACTGCCCGGCATGGCCAGGGGCCTATAAACGTTCACTGGTTATTTCTGTTGTTAGGGTCAGACCTACCATGCACTGCTGTTCAAAACCTGCCCCTCCTTCTGAACCTAGGACCTTATCAAAAACAGAAGAATCACAGAGTCCCGACTATCTTGTTAGAAAAAAAGACCAACAGAATCACAGAGGACGGAACACTTTCCCCCACTGCGAGTGCCCTGAACAGGCTGTTTTCCACGGCCGTGGGGAGCGTTCAGGTTCTTTTAGAGAACTGAGATTCTTATGTCAATTTCAAGTCAACAGCAGCTGAAGGAGGCCCCACAGCTAAAGCACCTCGGTGGGTGATGTGCCCGGCCCCTGGGTACTGTCCGTCGTGCCCATCGGGACTGAGGGCCAGCTGGGGTTTTGCCACACACCAGATGAACACCCAGCAGACCTCACCCTGTCAGCCCCGTGAAGTCCGTGTGATGTCAGTGAAGCTGCACACGGGAGGTGGGAAAATAGGTGGAGGAACGCCTGAGCGCCTCAGTCAGTAGACCGGGTAGGCCGTCTTTGGCCATCGTGGAGCCCATGTGGTGCCTTGTCACCTCATCACAGGGAGGACTGGCCTGTGGTGTCTTGACGGTGACGTGATCACACGTGTTTGTAAATGGAATTCTCACAGTTTATTTTATGTTATTTTTGAGACATAGTCTCGCTTCATTGCCCAGACTAGAGTTCTGTGGCGTGATCTCAGCTTACTGTAATCTCCGCCTCAAGCAATACTCCTGCCTCAGCCTCCCAAGTAGCTGGGATTACAGGTACATGCCACCATGCCCTGCTGATTTTTGTCTTTTTAGTAGAGATGGGGTTTTGCCATGTGGGCCAGGCTGGTTTCGAACTCCTGGCCTGAAGTGATCCGCCTAGCCTGGCCTCCCAAAGTGCTAGGATTACAGGCTTGGGCCAGAGGCTGGTCAAATTCTAACAGTTTACACGGCACTGCCTTGCTGCTTGGAGAAGTTTCTGGAGGTGCTGGAAAGAGCTGTCTGTCAGCATGCAGCACACACACCCTCTGTTCCCCGTTTGGTGACAGTGTAGGTCAGCAGTATGGATTGAAATCTGTTTAAAGGAGTCCTCTTGTGAGAATGCCCCAGTCTGCCACAGTTTGACCATTTTTTAGTAACTAATGATCAAAACAACTTTTCTCTGACCTTCTAAAAGTGACTCGAGGAGCTGACAGCAGGCCTGGGTCCTGGTGGACTTTACTTCTGCAGGAGCTCAGCCACCCTGGGCACTGGGGGCTGGCAGCTGGCAGTGGAAGGAGCATCGGATGGGAGGCCAGTGACTGGGGGTGCGTTTGCTGCTCTGCAAAGGCTGGGAGGCGCTCAGGGCGTCTCTGTGGCCAAAGTGAGACCTAGCTCCCAGCATCACTGTCAGGGAAGACCCTGGCTCACCCGCTCATGTGGCAAGTGCTGGGCCCTGGACAGGCCCTGCTGCTGGCCTTCCAAAGCCTGAGCAGTGTGGATAGAGCTCTGTGCTGCAGCTCTTGGCAGCGAGGAGCGCGTCCTTGGGAGCGTGTGGTGCATGCGTGGTGCGGGCGCCTGAGAGCCTGGCTGTGCTGCCTGACACTCTTCCGACTGGGACGGGGCCGTGGCATTCACAGTGGACCCCCCGAGACACAGTGTCTGTTTCCAAACCCAATGAGGATTTCACTGTTGAATTGTGAGAGACATTCACGGTGGACTCCCCAAGACACAGTGTAGTTGGGAGAGGATTCACGGTGGACCCCCCCGAGACACAGTGTAATTGGGAGAGGCATTCACAGTGGACAGTGGACCCCCCGAGACACAGTGTAGTTGGGAGAGGTTAGGGGGAAAAGCGCCTGTTTTGTGGCATTTATTTGGCTGATTAACCAAGTGACTCATAAACACTTGAGTTTGTCTGTTTCAGAAGCTGCTGTCCTTACTCTGGGTAAATTTTGGAATCTTCAGTTCTAAATCATCGCCTCTGTCATCCAGGTTTTAGATTCAGAGTCTTAGTGTTTCTACAGAGAAGGAACACAACAGTCTTCCTGCACACGACAGATGCTTCCAGCAGTGGCGCTGGCAGTCAGAGGCGCTGCGGGAACCCGGAGGTGCTGGGCCCGGGGACGGCCTCCCGCCCGCATGGTGCCTCCCGGAGGGGGCCCAGTCCTTGGCTCCACATGGGTCATGGAAAGGCCCTGGTGGTGGAGGAGGCAGATAGCAAGGGCCTGTGTGTGAGGTGGAGGCAGCATTTGGGGAGACTGCTCCAGCAGGAGAGGCTGGGTTTGGGGTGGAGGTGAGTTTGCATTTGGCTTCAGACATGCCGCCTTAGAATTTATACAACAGTCCAGAGAAATGTTCTTGGAGTGCGGGATTTGGAACTGACTCAGAAGTGAAGCGAAGTCTTGGTGGGCAGAGAGCTGTGCGTCGTTAGCGCAGGGTGGGTGAAGGCCGGGGTGGAAAGGTTGCGGGAGGGCAGGTCTCCTGGTGCCCATGTCTCCTGGGGGCGTCATGTGTGCTGGGTGGAGAGCGCCCCAGGTTGCAGAGGCCTCTGACTTGGCACCTTTGTGTGATTTTCAGAACTCCTCTGTTTTTCTGCTTTGCACATTATGTTGTGCTGTTACTCATTTCTTACTGTAATTATGTAGTTTTCGAGGTGTGCTATAGGCTCAATGGAGGCAACTGGGAACTTGTCACAGATTTAACATTACGAGGCCGGGCGCGGTGGCTAAAGCCTGTAATCCCAGCACTTTGGGAGGCCGAGACGGGTGGATCATGAGGTCAGGAGATCGAGACCATCCTGGCTAACACGGTGAAACCCCATCTCTACTAAAAAATACAAAAAAAACTAGCCGGGTGAGGTGGCGGGCGCCTGTATTTCCCAGCTACTCGGGAGGCTGAGGCAGGAGAATGGCGTGGACCCGGGAGGCGGAGCTTGCAGTGAGCTGAGATCTGGCCACTGCACTCCAGCCTGGGAGACAGAGCGAGACTCCGTCTCAAACAAAAAAAAAAAAAAAAAAAAAAAAATTACGAGTAGGGGCTAAGATGTGTTACAAGTTCCAGAGCACCGAGGTTGGAGGCCTGGGGACCTTCTTATCTCCAGGGATTTACATAAGGAAGCTCCAGAAGTTCTGGGTAGGCCTGGGCATGCGTGTCCCTGAGGTCCAGCCCTAAGCACAGACCCTAAAGGCCCCCTGGAAGGTGCAGCCTCACGAGCCGGGCAGCCTCCCTCCCTGGAGGCTTCTTTGGGTTACCCAAGTGTGACTTAAGAATCCCACCTCACACCCGGCGTGCACTTTAGAGAAAGGGTGTGTGTGTATGTGTGTGTATGCGTATGTATGTATGTGTGTGTAGGTGTGTATGCATGAGTGTGTGTGTATGCGTGTGTGTACGTGTGTATGCGTGTATATGTAAGTGTGTATGCGTGAGTGTGAGTGTATGTGAGTGTGTGTGTATGTGAGTGTGTGTGAGCCTCATCCGTGTGCGGCTGCTCCTCTGAGCAGCAGTGAGCTCCGAGGGACAGGCGGCCTCTTGGCACCACGCTGGGTATCTCCGGGAAGCTGTGGGACCACCAGAGCCCAGCATTCCTGTACTAGGTCAGCAGGAGCAGGGCTGGCCCTGAGGGGATGGACACCCTGCCCTGTGCAGATGCCCCAGGGTGGACGCAGCCGCCCACTGCTTGCCACCTGCGCAGTCTTCTGTGGCCTTTTCTTCTAGATGATCGCCCCGTGAGAGAGAGCGAGCGGAAGGCTTCCCGACTGCATTTTGCATCAGAGGACTCACTCGACTCAAAAGAGAGCGTCCCAGCTTCTTTGAAAGAGGGCAGGTATGAACAGAAGTGCCATGGATGCCCAGAGTGTTTCTGACTGGCCTGCTGTCAGGAGGATTAACTGAACGTCGTTCGCTGTGTGCCAGTTCTCCAGGGGTGGACGCCAGGAGGGAGGAAAGCAGAGCCCGGCTGGCGGGGACTCAGTGGAGGTGGGACGGGGCCTCTCTCCCGTTCTCCGCATTGCTAGGAGTTATTTCTAATATTGAAACTGTTGATTAAGGTAATATGTGTGAAATCAACCCAGGAAAGGGCTTGTCATGTCCCTCTTCCCAGGACTGCAGTTCTCACATCTGTGATCGCCTCTGCTTGTAGCTATTGCTTCAGTTACTTTCTTAGCCGTCCATCCAACCAAATCCCATTTCTGGCCATGAGCACATTCAGCAGGACCCACCTGCCTGGATAGAGGAGGACTCCTTCCTCCTCCACCTTTTGTGTGACGGTGCTGGGATGCGCCCTCCTGTCTCCCTCCCCATGGCTGGTGCTGGTGAGGCCACCTCCGGGGACCATGGGCGTGTGTGTGAGCCGGGCCTGCTTCCCCTTGCAGCCCCAGCTCTGCTGCCTGCATTTCTGTGTTGGGTTGATAGTATCTACGTGTATCCCAAAACCCTAGAGAGACTTTTTTGTTTATGGGTTGATTCAAGGGGCAGAAATCAGGGGACTCTGTCTGCGTCGCCATGGGAAGTGGTTGGATTATACACTTTCTTGAGCGCTGTTTGTCTTGTCTGAAGCTTTTAATCAAATCATTTTTTTTCTTGTGTGAGATGCTTTCACTCATTTTAAACTCCTAGTGCAGGGGTCAGTCAGCCTTTTTGTGTGAATGTTTTGGGCCCTGGAGGCTGCGTGACCTCTGTCCCATCTTCTTAGCTCTGCCTTTGCAGGGCAGAGGCAGCCATTGGCAGTATGGAAGCCAGGACGCTGTGCCCGTAAAATGCCTGCCCACAGCGCAGGCAGGGGCCCGATTTGGGCCATTCTTTGCTGACTTCTGTTCCGGTATGGCTCTGCATCCTCAGGATCTCCTCTTCCCTCAGATACCCGCCCTGCAGCCCGCACCACCCCATTTCAGACCAGACCAGTTGCTGCCTGGACAACGGCACTCTAGTACCTGCACCTTCTGCTCATGTGAGCCGTGCGGGAGAAGCTGTTCCGTGCCCCTCCTGGCTGCTGGTGGTCTACGCAGCTGCTGGCGTTGTCTGTCTCAGAGGGCCTCCCTCCAGCCTTGCTCTCACAAGCCGTCGTCCCCTGTGTCTCTTCACAGAATCTCTGCTCCGTGCCTGTCTCTCTACAGGTTTCCCCTTCTTAGAAGGACACCAGTGGTCGTGGATCAGGGCCCACCTTAATGGCCTCATGGTAATTTGATTGGCTGTTTCCAAGACCCTGTTTCCAAGAAAGGTTGCATTCCGAGGCAGTGGGCTAAGGACTTCAACATGTCTTTGGGGCGGAGGGTCGGGGGCCACAGCGCCAGTCCTGACACCTGGAATCCTGCACGCTGGCTGTCATCACTTGTTAGTTTCATGAGGTTTTCTTGTGGATTCTTTGTCATTTTTCACATAGAAAATCATGTCATCTGTGGACAGTTTTATTCCTTCCTTCCGAATCTGTGTACCTTTTATTTCCTTTTCTTGTCTTACTGCCTTATCTGGGGCTTCCAGCGTGATGTTGGGAAGTCTGGTGAGAGGGAGCGTCCTTGCCTCGCCCTCAGTCTTGCTGGGAGCGTCTGGTTTCCAGCGTAGCCTTGCGTCTACTGGCCGTGGACGATGGGTGCTGTCTTCATGTGGAGAAGCCTCCCTTCTTCTCCCAGTTTGCTGAAAGGATTCATCATGAAAGGGTATTAGATTTTGTCAAATGCTTTTTCTGCATCTATGATGTGATCTTGTGATTTTCTCCTTCAGCCTGTGGCGTGAAGGATTTTCAAACGTTGAACCGGGCCAGGTACAGTGGCTCACACCTGTAATCTTAGTGCTTTGGGAGGCCAAGGTAGGCGGATTGCTTGAGGCCAAGAGTTTGAGACCAGCCTGGACAACATAGCGAGACTCTGTCTGTAAGAAAACTTTTTTTTTTTTTCAATTAACTGGTTATGGCGGTGCGTGCCTGTAGTCCCAGCTACTCGGGAGGCAGGAAGACCCCCTGAGCCTGGGAGTGTGAGACTGCAGTGAGCTATGATGGCACCCCTAACATGGGTAACAGAGTGAGACCCTATCTGTAAGAGAAAGAGGAATAAATGTTGAGCCAGCTGTACATCCCTAGAATAAATCCTGCCTAATTGTGGTGTGAAATTCTGTTGGATTGTTGGATTCAGTTTGCTGATTTTTTTGTTGAGGATTTTTGCGTCTGTATTCATGAGAGATACTGGCCTGTGGTTTTCTTGTATTGTCTTTGGTTTTGGTTTTAGGGTCATGCTGACCGCATAGAATGAGTTAGGAAGTCATCTCTCTGCTTCCATCTTCTGGCAGATACCGCAGAGAATTGGTATAATTTCTTCTATACAGTGAGCCCATCCGGCCTGGTACTTTCTGTTTCGGAAGGTTATTAACTTGACTTGATTTCTTTAATAGAACCCTCTACAGTTTGTCTGTTGTGGCAGATTGTTTCTTTCAAGGAATTGGTCCACCTCATCTGAGTTGTCACGTTGGTGGGCACAGATGTTCATCACATTCTTTCATTTCCCTTGTAATGTCTCTGGGATCTGTGGTGATAACCGCTCTTTCATGTCGGTTACTCGTGTCTTCTTTTTTCTTAGTTAACATTTCCTTTGCGTGTTACGGATTTTGAACTTTTGGATCAGGGCTGCTAAACCTGTACATGGAACTCAGGCTGGCGTTTCCACAGCTACTCTTGAGCTGGGAGAGGGGAGTGGACGCGGCAGGTTAGAGTATCAGTCACAGTCTGTACTGAAAGCTGGCTGTTTTCCTGCACAGTTGCTAGCTGGGTTCTGAGTTCCAAAAAACCTCATTCTGATACCTTTTCTTGTTTTTTATATAGTTGCTTTTTATGGAGTGCTAGAATTTGGAGCTCTTTTCTCTGCCATTTTTTGCTGACACGACTCCAAATACATTTTTATTCTGATTTACGAGATCATTTCAAATTTTTTCTCTTTTGTTGTAATACACATAGGAATAAAGGAAGCACTTATTCCGTGTGGTTGGAAATGCTGTATTCTAGTCAAAAAATAGCTTATTAGTATTTTAGTTGGCTTCAGATTTACTTATATTAAAACTTTACAGTAGTAGTTGATTGGTGTAAAAGTCACAAACTTCACAGAAACTGATGAAGAGAAAGGGAGTAAAAGTCTTCCGCCACTGTTCACGCTGCTGACGATGACCAGCGGCAGCGTGTGGGTGCACTTTCCTGCTTTCTCAGGGTGCGTGCAGACACGTGGCGCCGCTTCACGTAAGATTACTCTTCATACCACACGCGACTTTAACCTCTAGATGATGAGAACAGAATATTCTTCATACTGAGCAGCACAGACACGAGGGTTAGTGATTGACATGCCCCCGGGTCGTCTTTGTGGACGTTCAGAATCATTGTGTCCTGGCATGGAAGCCTCAGTCATGGATTTTCTCACTTGAGATTGTCCACAGTTCCCGTCTTTGATCATCTCAAGACTGAATTATCATGGAGATGAGAGTTCAAGATGATGTGGGTCAATGTCCGTATCACACAGAGGAGGTGGAGGATGCCCACGGAACTGTGCTCAGTGTCAGGCTTCAGGGAGGTCTGGCCCCAGGACCCAGGCCCCCTTCTTTGTGCAACGCTCTGGAGAACTCAAGTCACAGGCCCCAGGGAGTGGGACTGGCCTCGGGTGGACCAGGTGTCGTATCATGAGCCACTCACAAAAGCAGCGTTCCTGGTCACTGCCCTTGGGTTTGTTTTGTGTAGACATCTCTTAACTGCCTTCGTTAGAAACAAGGTCCCCTTTGAGCACATTCTCGTCTGTATAGAGGGTCACCAAGCCAAGGCGGGTCGTATTGTGACACACCTCCGATTTCAGCCATTATGGAAACATTTTCCCTGAATGTGAAAGTGGGCATTTGGAACACTTAACTTTCTTGATCACGTGTATCTCCTTGTGGATATGCTAGGAAAAGCGTAATTTGAATTTTAACCTGCCAAAACATAGCAGAACAGAACCTTCCAGAACTTTAAGTTTTGAACCAATCCTAGTGGTGTTCTGTCCAGTGCTGGGATTTGGACCAGTCCTGGAGGGGTTCTGTCCAGTGCTGGGATTTGGACCAGTCCTGGAGGGATTCTGTCCAGTGCTGGGATTTGGACCAGTCCTGGTGGGGTGTGTCCAGTGCTGCGATTTGGACCAGTCCTGGTGGGGTTTGTCCAGTGCTGGGATTTAGACCAGTCCTGGTGGGGTCTGTCCAGTGCTGGGATTTGGACCAGTCCTGGTGGGATTCTGTCCAGTGCTGGGATTTGGACCAGTCCTGGTGGGGTTTGTCCAGTGCTGGGATTTGGACCAGTCCTGGTGGGGTTTGTCCAGTGCTGGGATTTGGACCAGTCCTGGTGGGTTCTGTCCAGTGCTGGGATTTGGACCAGTCCTGGTGGGGTTCTGTCCAGTGCTGGGATGCTGTCATGTTATCACGTGACCTGGCCATTGCTCACCAGTCATCCTTGGTGAGTCCCTCTTCAGCATCACCGCAGTGGAAGCAACAAGACCCGCTGCCCCATGGTTGCACCAAACTGCTCCCCTCGGAGACCATGCAGGTATTTTCCTTCACGGGGTCTGTGTGGGCCGGAGTGTACGGCTGGCTTGAGTGATGCGGATGCGTTTGCTTTTCCTTACAGACCGTGCCGCCCCAGAGCTAAGTGCACCGAGGCCTTGGCCAAGCAGAGCCTGGTCATGGACGCGGATGACGAGGCAGTCCTGAACCTCATTGCAGAGTGCGAGTGGGATCTCGGCAGGCCTCCCGGGAGCACGAGCTCCAGCCAGAAGGAGCGCGAGGCCGACTCTCTTGGTTCCCAAGGTGCGCTGCTCCCCCGCCAGGAGGCCAGTGGGGCCGCGGGCTCTGGGATGTGGTGTCACTGGCCTTGGAGTGCACAGTTGCGCTTTTCATGGGACTTACCTTTAAGGGTGGGATCTTCATGATATCTTTGTGTGCTTTTGAATGCCAGCCATTTGGACTACAGATTTATAAAAGGACAAAGTTAACGTATTTAAAGTATAGTCATACTGCATGCTGGGTTAAATTGTGTCCTCCTGAGATCACGGGAAAAGGCAAACTGTCTACAGTAGACAAGAAGCCTGGTGTTCTGTGGCAGGTGGGGCTGACGTCTGAGGCAGCCGCAGGGGGCAGAGTCACTGAGCTTGTGGGAAACCCTGAGCTCAGGCTGCCGTGTGTAGACCTTCAGATCCCAACACGGGTGTCACGGAGACTCCATCGCCCGGCAGTGCCGCCCTCCACTGGGACGTGCTGATAGACTTTAGCTTCATTTATTCCACCTCCATTGTGAGTTTCTGAGAACTTTTCATGGAAACAACAGGTGGAGACCTGAGTTTGGGCTGAAATCTTAGGTTCATCTGTACCAGGACATCTGCCCTGTGGCAGCAGTGCCCGAGCCGCGTCCTTGCCAGCACTGGGCGCTGAGTCCTTTAATCCTAGCTCCTCTGTCAGGGGGTTGTGGTACCTGTTTATGGCTTTAATTTGCATCCCGCTGCTGTTGAAATACTGGCCGTGTCTGTCTCTTCTTTTCTCTCCAGGTCTGCCCACCTTTGTTCTGGGGTTGCTTCTCGTAGTATGGAGTCCTAAGAGGTCTTGGTGGTTTTGACACAAGCCCTTTCTCAGGCACAAGTGCTGCCAGTTTCCTCCCTTCTGTGGCTTACCTTTTCATTTTTGGACCAGTGCTTTGAAGAGCACAAATTTTAATTTCAGTACAGTCCAGTTTATGAAGAGCACAAGTTTGTTCTGTGTTTTGTTTTTTTTGAGGTGGAGTTTTGCTCTGTCGCCCAGGCTGGAGTGCAATGGCGCAATCTCGGCTCACTGCAACCTCTGCCTCCTGGTTTCAAGTGATTCTCCTGCCTCAGTTTCCCGAGCAGCTGGGACTGCAGGCACCCGCCACCACACCTGGCTAATTTTTGTATTTTTAGTAGAGATGGGGTTTCACCATGTTGGCCAGGCTGGTCTCAAACTCCTGACCTCAGGTGACCCACCCACCTCAGCCTCCCCAAGTGCTGGGATTACAGGGTAAGCCACCACACCCGGCTGAAGGGCACAAGTTTTAATTTCAGTACAGTCCAGTTTTTGAGTACTTTCCTTTGATGGTTTGGGCTTTTGTGTGCCCTGTAAAGGAAGCTTTGTCCACCGCATGATCATGAAGATTTTCTCCCGTGTTTCCTTACAGTTGTCCCATAGTCTTAGTGTCTAGGTGTACAGTTCACTTTTTGGAGCTTTTGTGTGTATTGTGAGTTAACGAGTCAAGACATTCCCCCTACATGTACAGTTGTCTGTTTGTATCCACTGGTTTTGAATCTCTGGAGTCAACCAACCGTGGATCAAAACTATTTGGAAAAAAACAAAAAAATTTACAATACAGCAATTAAAAAATAATACAGTATAACTATTTACACAGCATTTATTTATTCTGTATTTTTGTAGAGATGGAGTCTTGCTATGTTGCCCAGGCTGGATTCAAACTCCTGGGTTCAGGCGATCCTCCTGAGCCTCCCGGACTGCCGGCACGTGCCACCGTGGCCAGCTACGGTAGCATTTATGCTGTGTTACGTATCGTATTGTAAGTAGGCAAGAGATGACTTAAAGTACACGGGAGGATGTGTGCAGATTATACACAGATACGCCATTTCACGTAAGAGAGTTGCATGTCCTTGACTCCTGCCATCCCTGGGGGTTGCCCAGAACCAGTCCTCTGTGGGACTGAGGAATGACTGTACATCCAGTTGTTCTGTTGCCTGTCATTTACAGAAGTACATTCAGTTGTTCTGATGCCTTTTGTTGAAAAGACTCTTTTTCCTCATTTAGTTACTTGACACTTTTGACCTGAGACTGTCTGGACTCTGTCTTCTGTTTTGTGCATCATTTTGTCTGACTTTGCTCCACTTCATGTGGCTTGATTCTTGCTGCCTTGTCCTGAGTCACGCAGGCGAGTGGTGCCAGTTCCCAGTTCCCAGCTCTCCTGTTGTTAGGAGTCACTGTGGATTCACTCCAATGTCACCAGCACGTGATTAACCCCTCAGTCTAACAGATACCATATGCTATTCAGAAGCTTAAAATGTAATTTTTAATGAAATAAAATTTTTACAATACTCTATGAAATGTTTTATTTACAATATTTTAATAAAACAGAATCCAGACATCTATTGAGCCCGCAGTTGGTACAGTACCAGTGTGGGGACTCCGGGAAGCAGGGCCATGAGACGAGGAGGAGCAGCTGCAGAGGGTGCTGTCTGGAGAAGACGCCGTGGAGCCGGCCCCGTGGAGAGTTCCCGCCACCTTACGGAGCAGAGCTGGAGGCCTCCCGGCCTCCCGGGCCACACATGTACTTCACCCCAGACCCAGGTACTTACACGTGTCTTAGTCTGTTTTCTGCTGCTGTAACAGAAAACCACGGACTGAGTAATTTATGAAGAGCAGAAGCTTATGTGGCTCGTGGTTCTGGAGGCTGGGAAGTCCAGGAGCACAGTGCTGGCACCTGGTGCTGGTCCTCCCGTGGCGCAGGTGGCAGCAAGCTCAAGACAGAGAAATGGAGCCAGGCTCATCCTTTATTAGGACCCCAAACCTGCAATACAGCATTCCTTCCTCCCTGAGGGCTGGCCCTGTGACCTGATCACCTCTTAAAGGCCCTCCACTTAATACTGTTACAATGGCAATAAGTTTCCAACTTAGGAACTTTGGGGGATTCGTTCAAACCGTAGCAACGTGAAATCCCTGTCAACTTTTATTCCCTTCAGTTCCTTTTTAAGTAGTTAAATATTTTTCACAATGTTTGCTTTCACTATGAAATTTCTCCTGTTCTCTTTGTATTTGTTTGTGGAACCCTCCAAAATGTCTTTGGAAAGAATGCAGCACATTGAAAGTTATAATCCATTCATGGTTTAGATTCATGGTTGGTAAATAGGTGCTTTTTCTCTGCACGTGTGTGTGTGCACACCCTCCCTCTTCCCTACCCTCACCCCTCACCAACGCACACACACTTTCTTTTATGTGTATGGGCCTAGGTTATGGCTGTAACTACATTTTGAAAATCAAAGGCGAGAAAAGTGAACCGAGAGCGTCACGTGATACCATGTGACGCTCACCTGTGTGGAGTGAGTATCAGAAAAGCTCCTGCCGCAAGCAGACCGGACACGGCGGCTCACACCTGTAATCCCAGCGTTTTGGGAGGCCGAGGCAGGCGGACTATTTGAGGTCGGGAGTTTAAGACCAGCCTGGCCAACGTGGTGAAACCAGGTCTCTACTAAATATACAAAAATTAGCTGGGCATGGTGGTGGGCACCTGTGGTCCCAGCTACTCAGGAGGCTGAGGCATGAGAATCGCTTGAACCCGGGAGGTGGAGGTTGCAGTGAGCCGAGATGGCACCACTACACTCCAGCCCGGGCAACAGAGCAAGACTCCATCTCAGAAAAAGAGAGAAGCCTCGTCTCGAGTGACCCTGGCACCTCTTGGAAGCTCGCTCATGCCCGGCTGGTGAGGAGCAGGGGACTAGCCAGGTTGTCTCTCAGCCACTGCAGGACGTGGTGGGTCATCTTGAGTTGTGCAGGCTGTGGTGGAGGCCAGGGCTGTGCCCGTTTGGTGCCTTCTCCCGCCTTCATTGTCCTTCCACAGACAAGTTCACCCTCCCCTGGGGCTTGTGTGTCCCGGGGCCTTCGTGGTCAGCACTGTGCACAGGACCCACCACTTTATGGACCGTTGAGTCTGTCGCCTGTCTTCAGAGATGGATGTGTCCTTAGATGTTGTTTGGAACGCTTTGTTGAAGCGTATTGCATGTCAGTCATCATGGGGTGGACACGCTGAGCTGGGCGGTCCCTGTCTGCTTCATCCAGACTCCCCCAGAGTTCGCGTGTTAGCATGTGTGCTCCAGTGTGCCCCTTCCTCCCTCGGCACCCTCCCTCTGCGTGTGTCTTTGTGCAGGTGGACGGATGTGTATATGCACATGGATGGGTATGCGTGTACATATGTAAGTGCGTGTGTGTGTCCGTGTGCGTATGTACATGGGCACACACATGCCTTTTAAAAGTTACAGTGCCGAACACTGCACCCAGAGAATTTGGCCTGACGCGGGCCCCGTCCTCTCTGTATTACAGACTCTGTAGATACTGAGGACTCGGCCTCTTCTCAGAAGTTGGATTTGTCAGCGGAAATGGTGCCTGGTTCCCTGCCAGCCCCCGGAAAGTGCAGGAAGCGAAGAATGCCTGGTGGAAGATTCCAGGCATTTTCAGACCAGGAGGGTCTGGGCTGCCTGGAGAGAACTCACGGGTCCTCCGTGGCCGAGGAGAGCCTGAGCAGACAGAACAGCTCAGGAAGCAGGAGTGGGAGGACCTTGTCTCAGCCTGAGGCCTCAGAGACTGAGGAGCAGAGGTCTCGGGGCATGACCGACACCAGAGAGGTGAGAGAAGGGCTGGGGGGCAGAGGCCCACGGTGCCCTGTTCCTAATGTAGGGGTGGTACGGCTTTGGCAATGCCGTGATTACGCCTATGGCACTGACCGTGTCCCAGGATAAAGGGAACCATCACACTTAGGTTTCCAGGGCGCTTGCTGCTGGGTTTTGTTGGACGTGTGCCTCTGTGCCACACGTTGCCCCTGCAGTGCTGTTCTGAGTGGAAGCCTGTGGTGGAGGGGGGGGACTCTGCCTTATGGTGTACGGGGCGTTTGTCTCCAAAGTTGGAGTCGGGCATCTTGGCCGGCTGAGCCACTGATGACCCTGTCGTGAAGGGAGGATCCTGGAGGTCATTGTGATGAGAGACCGAGTTCCTCCGTCCTCAGGGTGGCCTAGAGGCCGGGGGGACGACTGGCACAGGCCCAGTCAGAGGCGTTGAGACACACCTGCTGTAGACATGCGCGCAGACCCCCCAGAGGGGAACAGGCAGGGGCTGTTCACTTGGTGCTTACCACAACGAGGGCTTCAGACTCCCGGGCAGGCAGAGGAGCGGGAAGGTGCGGAATTGTGGGACGGGGAGGGAGGCATGGCTGGAGCTGGAGGCGGCTCCCTAGCAGCACGGGGTGGGGGGTTCCAGAGCTGGGTGGGGCGTGTTTGACGTCCCCGGCAGGTCCTGAGCTGGAAGGGAGGCAGAAATGGGGGAGGCGGGTGGTCTGTTTCAGGGTTATTGTTTGACTCTGGGCCGTTGCTGGGGACAGCGTCTGGCACGCTGCCAGCCTGACCGTGGGCGCCTGACCGTGGGTGTCTGACCGTGGCCGCAGGCTGCTTCCAGGGCGGCTCCCTTTCAGCGCAGGCTCCGACCATGGCCTGGGCGTGTCTTCCGCTTCCCTGTCTGGGTTGAGGGAAGGAGTCTGGGGCCTGCTTGAGTTGGGAATGTGTGGGCCCCGTCCTGTTGTGTCATCGAGACCTCACTCATCCAGGACCGGTGCACCTGGCTAAGCCTCACTGGGCAGGCACTGCTAAGCCGCCCTCCACCTAGCTCAGGGCTGGGGCCTCACAGCACCTGCCCTCCCCTCCGTGGTGCGAAGGCATCCCAGGGTGTGCTCGGGGCACCTGCTGGCATTCAGGACCTCAGTTACCACACTGACTCACTGGCCTCATGATTTTGTTTCCATGACAGCCATCTCCTGGGTCACGCTCGGCTCTACCCGGGAAGAAGGCGACCCTGCAGGCGGCGCTCCTGGAGACGCTCTTGGACCTGGTGGACAGGAGCTGGGGCGGCTGCAGGTCCCTGCACAGCAACGAGGCATTCCTCAGTGAGTCAGGGTGGCCGCTGCTCTTGCCCTCCAGGCAGCGTCTGTGTGGGTTCTGGGGTCCTCGGCGTGTGGTGACCTGAGAGTCATCTCAGCCCCAGGTGTCCTGTGTCCCCTCCCACAAGCGTGTGGTGGTCCCACACCTGGACCCTCCCTGGCAGTCTCCGCCTCTCACAGCGGCCAGGGCTCTTGGGAGGCACCACATGGGCCTGGGCCTGTGTGTCCCCCGCTGTGGTCTGGGGTGTTGGGGGCCTGTGACCTTGTTTTGCTCAAAATGCTGTCCAAAGGGGCTTGGTTCTGAAGGTTGTGTTCACGTGGGGATTTGGAGTTTGGAAGCTGCTCAGCATCTTCTCCCCTGACGTGGACGTGTGGCCTGTGCTGGGCCTGGACTGCAGAGCTTTTGGTTGGGGTGGGGCCCAGGAGGGTGGTCCCTCCCCAGAGAGGACTTGGGTCTGTTTGATTCTGCCAGACAACCCGTACATGAGCACACTGGGGCCTCCCTCATCCGGGGTCACACTGGGAGACCAGGAGATGCCGTGTCCCTGGGGGCACCTTCTCTTTGTCCTGCAGCCTGGGGTGTGGCTGTGTGTGTCCCTCAGGAGCCTTGCCAGTGTGCTCTCCCGGCAGACCCTGGGCACAGCTCTGAGCTGTCTGAGTGCCTCTTGCAGTGTCGTAGCCCCTCGGCTCCTAGAATGAGGACGCCCTGCAGTCGAAGCCTACCCGGACCCCAGCCCCGTAAACCTGCCCTCTCCCTAGGCTGGTGTCCTGCCGGAGCCTCCTGAGCTTGTCGTTGGTGGCAGGGGGACTGTCCCAGGCCCAGGCCACTGTCCCAGTGTGGGGTTGCCAGCTGGCGTCTGCACTGCGGTTTCCACACAGGGGCGGCTGGTGCTTGTGGAAGACGCAGCGAGTTGCAGCGGTGCCTCTGAAACCTTGAGACGCAGCGGCCCCTATTTGCCCCTTTTCTTGGGGTTACCTCTTCTCTTTCTTGAGTTCCCACCCTGCCCGTGTGTGGACGCACAGAGCCTGAGGTGGTTTTGTGGCGCCAACACCCCGTTGCCCCCTCCCTGCCTGCCGTCTTTTTGAAGCATCGTCTGTGAGATTCAAAACATACTGAGCTGATTTTGTTTATATGTCATCTTTTAAGCCTGAGTGCTAATGTAATACTTGATTTTCACTCCTAGCTCAGGCAAGACACATCTTGTCATCTGTTGAAGAATTCACAGCGGCTCAGGACGGCTCTGCGACGGTGGGTGCAGACGTCGGCTCCCTGGCTCTGGAGAGTAAGTCCCTGCAAAGCCGCCTTGCTGAGCAGCAGCAGCGGCACGCCCGGGAGATGAGCGAGGCGACGGCAGAGCTGCAACGCACACGCCAGGAGCTGGTGAGCCCGCCCTGGCACCATGTCCGTGTCCATGTGACTGGGGGAAACACGGCTTTGACTTCCAGGAACGAGGGCAGCTCCTTGAGGCCACATTGTCCCAACCACCATCTCTGCAGCCCCATGTCTCCCCTCCCTGCCCAGGACCCGGCCACCCCCAGGAACGTGGCCTGCCCTGTCTCACAACAGGCCTGGAGCACTTTGGAGACAGCAGTGGCGCTGGCCACTTTCTCTCCTTGGAGGGGCTGGGCTGGGGAGGCGGGCAGGGGTGATGCCAGCCGGAGACGATCTTTAGTCCCCTGTCCTCTGGCGCAGTCTCCCCCGTCCCCTCCCGAGAGGTCCAGTGTACCAGGTGATCGCAGGGTCCCTGCTGCTGCCCTGCCTGTGCGTCCTCCCCCGGACCACCGGGCGCTGCTGGGCGCTGCGGGAGCCAGGCCTGGACGTGACTTTGTCTTGCTGACCCGTCTCTCAGGGCCTCGAATTGGAGACAGCTGAGGCCACTCTCCTTTTACAAAGGAGATGACGGCCAGTGTTCCATGGTGAGCTGGGGCTACAGGGCAAGTTACCCCAAAATGAACAGCTGAAAACCCACATTTATCCCCTTGGATTTCTGTGGGTCGGGCCTGAGGCTCAGCTCAGCTCAGCCAGGCGCGTTTGGCTCCGTCTCAGCCGTGGGCCAGGGCCACCGTCTCATCTGAGGCCTCATGGGGCAGGATCCTCCCAGGCTCCCTCCACACTGCAAGGGCCTCCCCATGGGCTGCTGGCGTCCTCAGGACAGGGAGCTGGTGGTCAGAGAGCCACACCCAGACAGAAGCCGCCCTCCGGGAGTCCTGGTATGAGGGCAGAGCCGTGTGAGGAGGTGCACACCCAGAGGGGCCTTGTTAGCCTCTGTAAAATGGGAGTGAAGTCGGCCCGGGACGGCTTTGAAAACTGCCTCTGAATTTATCTGACAAGTACATACTATCTGTTTCATGGGAACCTACATCTGAGAGATCCCACACAGCGCTTCCTCTTTAGAGAAGAAAAAGTACAGATGACAAAACAACACAGGCAGTCTCTGATTAAACGCACGTGCCCCACCCACCCTCGCCCCCGGCCGGGTCTGGAAGCCTCAGCACGTGGCCTTCATCCGGAAGCCTCTGTATTTCAACACACGTGGGTCCCCGTCCCCCCATCCAGAAGCCTCTGCATTTAAACACACGTGGCCCCCGTCTGGAAGCCTCTATTTAAACACACGTGGCCCCCGTCTGGAAGCCTCTGTTTAGACACACGTGGCCCCCGTCTGGAAGCCTCTGTTTAGACACACGTGGCCCCCGTCTGGAAGCCTCTGTTTAGACACACGTGGCCCCCGTCTGGAAGCCTCTGTTTAGACACACGTGGCCCCCGTCTGGAAGCCTCTGTTTAGACACACGTGGCCCCCCGTCTGGAAGCCTCTGTTTAGACACACGTGGCCCCCGTCTGGAAGCCTCTGTTTAGACACACGTGGCCCCCTTTTTTTCCGTCGTCTGGAAGCCTCTGTTTAGACACACGTGGCCCCCCGTCTGGAAGCCTCTGTTTAGACACACGTGGCCCCCGTCTGGAAGCCTCTGTTTAGACACACGTGGCCCCCGTCTGGAAGCCTCTTTTAGACACACGTGGCCCCCGTCTGGCCCTTTACACGTCCCCCTCTGCCTGTTTCACCCCCCCCTCCCCCCCGTGCCCCCGTCTGGAAGCCTCTGTTTAGACACACATGGCCCCCGTCTGGAAGCCTCTGTTTAGACACACGTGGCCCCCGTCTGGAAGCCTCTATTTAAACACACGTGGCCCCCGTCTGGAAGCCTCTGTTTAGACTCACGTGGCCCCCCGTCTGGAAGCCTCTGTTTAAACACACGTGGCCCCCGTCTGGAAGCCTCTGTTTAGACTCACGTGGCCCCCGTCTGGAAGCCTCTGTTTAGACTCACGTGGCCCCCGTCTGGAAGCCTCTGTTTAGACACACGTGGCCCCCGTCTGGAAGCCTCTGTTTAGACACACGTGGCCCCCGTCTGGAAGCCTCTGTTTAGACACACGTGGCCCCCGTCTGGAAGCCTCTATTTAAACACACGTGGCCCCCGTCTGGAAGCCTCTGTTTAACACGTGGCCCCCCGTCTGGAAGCCTGTTTAACACGTGGCCCCCCCCATCTGGAAGCCTCTATTTAAACACACGTGGCCCCCGTCTGGAAGCCTCTGTTTAGACACACATGGCCCCCGTCTGGAAGCCTCTGGATTTAAGAACATGTGGCCCCTTCTCTGGAAGCTTCTGTATTTAAACACATGTGGCCCCCGGTCTGGAAGCCTCTGTTTAGACACACGTGGCCCCCATCTGGAAGCCTCTAAACACACGTGGCCCCGTCTGGAAGCCTCTATTTAAACACACGTGGCCCCTGTCTGGAAGCCTCTATTTAAACACACGTGGCCCCCGTCTGGAAGCCTCTGTTTAAACACACGTGGCCCCTGTCTGGAAGCCTCTGTTTAACACGTGGCCCCCGTCTGGAAGCCTCTGTTTAACACGTGGCCCCCCGTCTGGAAGCCTGTTTAACACGTGGTCCCCGTCTGGAAGCCTCTGGATTTAAGAACATGTGGCCCCTTCTCTGGAAGCTTCTGTATTTAAACACACGTGGCCCCCGGTCTGGAAGCCTTTGTACTAACACACGTTGGCCCGCTGTCTGGAAAGTGAGCTGGGCGCCATCACCGGTGATGTCTTTTCTGTGGGACGCAGCCGGGCACACCCCTTGCCCTTCTGAGCCTGAGACCAGATGGAGCCGACAGGTGGAGCCCAAAGGTGTGCTGAGCGCCAGTGTCACGAGGGGTGAGAGTCACGTGCAGCTGTGTCTGCTGTGGACGCCTGCTTTTTCGCCCTCTGCAGTTTGCCCAACCCTGTCCCTTGGGGCAGCCCTGGGCCACAGGACAGAGCAGCCTCGGTTCCCTGTCAGGACGAGTGATCGGAAGGATCTGGCAGCCCCAGGCCCCGTGGGTAAGGAGCAGTCAGTACAGTCAGGAACCCCGCGGAGGGAGCAGCCAGGCAGGCTGGTGGGCGCTGCCTTCCAGGGACATCTGTCACTCCAGAAGCACCCAAGTTTACTCTGCCACGTGAGGACGCTCATCCCTCGGTCGCATCAACCTCGAACGTGCTTCCTTCGGAAGCTGCAGTCCAGTGTCCTGAGGCAAAGGTGGCCCCACTCCCAGCTGCTGTGCCTGGCACGGCCTCCGAGGCAGATGGGCTGCGCCCAGCCTGGGTGGAGTCAGTCCTCTGTTCCCTGCGCCTGCTGTGGCCTAGACTCCAAAAAGTAAAAATTAATTAGCTAGGCATACTGGCACGCTCCTGTCATCCCAGCTGTTTTGGGAGGTAGAGGCAGGAGGCTCAGGAGTTGGGGGCTGCAGTGAGCTGTGATTGCTCCACTGACCTCCAGTTTGGACGACAGAGCAAGACTTTGCCTCAAAGAAACTAATGAAAAAGAGCTGGGAGCTCACAGCCCTGCCTTAAGAGCTCACCGCGTCCTTGGGAGGCAAAACCATGAGACATGACGCTGCCAGGAGCTTTCTGGACGACCCAAAGCACCGCGTGGAGGGCAGGTCGTGCTGGTTGGCACCACTGCAGCAGACACCTTGGCAGAAGCCGTGAAATGAAGAACTGGCCAGGATAAGCCTGAGGGGGACGGTCTCAGACCCAGTGATCAGCTTTCACCATGGGCATTGGGGGCCTGGCGGGCGCGTGCGTGCTGAGGGGGCTGTCGGCGGGTGGGCTCCTGAGTGGAGGACAAAGTGGAGACACCCCCAGCACGAGGCTTCTGCTCTACAGACTCAGGCGCTCCCTCCCCTGGTGGCAGTGAGTTGGGGTCTGCTCAGCACCCCCAGCCCCAGGATGTGCCTGCTGGTGCCTGAGAGAGCAGCAGCCTGGTGAGCCTGGATCCCTGGGGACCCTGGACGCAGCTGCTGGCAGCTTGGATGGCTCACACCTCACCAGGCACCCTGGGGCCAGCTTGGATGGCTCACACCTCACCAGGCACCCAGAGGCTGCCGTGTGGCTACAGGCATGGCCCTTTCCCCTCCTTGATGACAGCTCGTCCTGTGCTCTGGGTCTTCTCCATACTTTGAGGATGTGAAAGGAGCCAGAACAAAAGGGGGTTCCTGCAGGGCCACCTGTGCCTTACACTGGCACCAAGGCCTGGGACCTACAGTGTCTGTGAGGGCGTCCTGGGAGAGGCAGGGCTCCCCCAGCCACCACCCGCTGCCCTGCCCAGCATCAGGCCTGCGGGTCCTGCTGGAGCACATGCTTCAGGGAGACTCAGGAGTGGGGCTTTCACGGGGCTGGGGCGCTCCTTTCCATCCCTCTCCTCACTCACCCCCTCCCCTGAGGGTGCTGCAGGGCTGGGCAGGCGGGCTGGGGGCAGGGAGATGTGCCATGAAACCGAATTATTGCCTTTCGCATCGTGACTCCAAGTATGCAGAAGGAACCCTCTGGGGATTCACAGAAGGTTTCAGTTTTATTTTCTATACACATTTTACTGAATTTGACTTGTGCATTTTAAGTGTATTTTCTGTGTCCCCAGGATGATTTAAGACAACATTTAGATAAATCTTTGGAAGAGAACAGTAGCTTAAAATCGCTTTTGTTGAGTATGAAAAAGGAAGTGAAGAGTGCAGACACTGCAGCCACGTTAAATTTACAGATTGCTGGTAAGTTTGGTCATTTTGTAAACTGTAAGCGTTCAAATGTGCCTAGGTAACGAGGAAGGCAAGCAGCAGCAGACGCAGTTGGTAAGTGGGGAGCCGAGTCCCTGCCTTGCTGGCTGGCATGGAGGCTGCCTCGGCCAGAGTTTATGGCACACACGCGTGTCTGGGGCAGTCCTGGCGTGGATGTGGGAGGCAAGGCCACCTCTGTCCTCCCCCTGCCCGGCCGTCCTCCCCTCAGCACAGGGTGTCAGGGCTGCAGCTGCTGGAGCGGCCTGGTCACTGTGGGATTCGCTGCTCCTGTCTGGCGTCCTCCCACGGTTATGCTGCCGTCGAATCGGTGAATGAGCCTGTTGCCCAGCGTCTCAGCGTTACAGATTCGGGTTGCATTTCTGGTGAACCCGTGTTTCTCCCGAGCAGGACTGCTGTGGTCACTGTTTCATCCAGATCCAGATCTTTCTCATTTCCCTCTCTTCACTTTTTTTGTTCTATTTTGCTATTTTTACAAAAGTGTTTTCAGTATTTCAAGTTCAGATACCTGGATTTTAAATAAGGAAGTGCCGATGGAGTTTGCTGTCCATGGTAACCTTCTCGGTGTGGCATGGAGTTTCTTGGAAGTTTTAACTCATACTTCCCTGAGAATGACCAGTGGAGCATCTTTTCCTGGTCTAACCTCTCAGGGGCTCACAGGCTTTTTCTTAAAGTCCAGGTAGTAACTGTTTCAGGGCGCGTGGGCCTCATGGTGTCTGTCCCAACCAGCCGTGGCCTTTGTGGCAGGGAGGCAGCTGCAGATGAGGCCTGTGGCCGCTCTGTCCTCTAGGGCAGCGTCTCCTCACATCTTTCGCCTGTTGGTTTTTATTGGGTGGTTTGATTGAGTGGCAAGAGTTCCTTAGAGTCTTCTTTTTTATTTACAAATTTTGTTTTTCTATCTTCTGTTTCTTTAAGACATTGTTATGTTTACAACAGGTCCTTGAATAACTGTTCATTCAACATCATTTCGTCGGAAAGGTGATGAGAAAAAACAATCGGTTCTCTGCCCGGGAGAACTGTGTGTGTGGCTTGCTCTCCCGGCTCCGTGGTTTCTCTGGGGGCGCTGGTGTCCTCCCATGCCCCGAAGCCGTGCACACCAGGGCGTTGGCGTGTCTGACCCGTCCCGTCCCGAGTGAGCGCAGGTACGAGCCGCCCGCCGTGCGATGACGTCTGATCAGGGCTGGTCCCCGCTTCACGCCCTGAGCCGCTGGGATGGGCTGCAGCAGTAAATTATGATCTAACTTGTCTATTACTCGGTCTTAAATGTATGCATTGCTTCCATTTATTTTAATGTTTACTATTAGAGGTGTTTTGGTCTTTGGCGGTTTGGTGATGTTCTTGTGACTAGAAAGTGCTGTGGGAGCGTCACTCTTGCTCCCGTCGGCAGCCTGTGTGGATGGTGAATTCGGCTTCGTTCTACGGTGGTTGCTTTGCTTTGTGGCCGTTTCCGGAACCATCAGCACGAAGCGAGGACTAGCTGGACTTTCCCTTACACTCCTTCTTAGCAACTTCACTTGCCGTGTGAATTTTTTATTTTATTGCTAATTCTTCCCCGAGTTCAGACCTCTCTTTTCTGACATTTCTGATTGTGACTTACGTTGTTTTTCGTTTCTTCTGTCATTTTCTTTTTGTCTTCAGCTTATTTTGAAACAGTGGTTCTGGTGTGGGTCCATTCTGGAGTGTGGCTTTCACTGTGGTAGGGCTGTTCTTGTGCCCTGACCTTTTGCCTTACAGAAACTGGGATTTGGCTTCAGTACTTTCTGCTTCTC